GGGGGGGGGGGGGGGGAAAAGACCAGGAGAACTTTCTCAACAAGGGTGCAGACCCACCTTCATTATTTAATCTCTTTCTACTACCTTACTACTCACGCTTTAACCAAAATGAACTACTCTGGTTTCTTCCAAGGTTAATCATTGAAGCACTAACCTTTTGTGACTGTATATTAATGTCCTAGTTACCCTTGGAGATGTTTCCAGATTCTCTCCAACAGGAAGCAACTTCCTCTGCGCTTACCTAGCACTTTCTGTACTTCTTTTAGGACAATCTCTATTTTATATAACAGCTGCTTACGTTCTTAGCTTTACTGCTGTGTTTATGTCTAAAATGGTTTTTATCAGATTCATCTGCCTATCATATTATCCTGCACATGATATTATTTTGGTAAGTACTTCCTAAAAGATTGAATATTTTTGGTGTCCTGGGGACCTAAGACACTGCCAGCTTTAGTTTATCAAATTCAGTGTGGTTCCTGTTACTCAACCTTTTCCTAGTCTTCCCCTCTGAATTCCTTCCAACATGATTTCTTCCCGCTAAAAACAGAAATCATACATTAAAAAGTTGAAGGAAATACAATAAATATTCATATACCCTTTACCTAGATCCAACAGTTGTTAAATTCTGCTATATTTATTTCATTCCTTCTCACACTTTTTTCATTGTTGTTGAACTATTTGGAAATAGGTTACCGACCTATTGTTAAGCAGGCACCTCTAAAATTTCCAAAATGTATTTCCCTAAGGATTATAAAGTTCTGCAAAACACAGTATCATTATCACAACAAAGGAAATTGTTCTGTAATATTTTTTTTTTTCAACGTTTATTTATTTTTGGGACAGAGAGAGACAGAGCATGAACGGGCGAGGGGCAGAGAGAGAGGGAGACACAGAATCGGAAACAGGCTCCAGGCTCTGAGCCATCAGCCCAGAGCCCGACGCGGGGCTCGAACTCACGGACCGTGAGATCGTGACCTGGTTGAAGTCGGACGCTTAACCGACTGCGCCACCCAGGCGCCCCTGTTCTGTAATATTTAAAATCTAGTCTGTATGTACATTGTCCCATTTGATCTAAGAATATTTTGTATATCTCTACCCCTGCTCCTCCAACAAAATTCAGAATCCAGTCAAGGTTTATGTATTGTGCTTGGGTATTGTAACTTTTAGCCTTAATTGAGAACAACTCCCCTATCTTTTTTTCTCCTGTGATGTTGGCATTTTATTTATCTATTTTTTTTAATGTTTATTCACCTTTGAGACAGAGACAGAGCGTGAATAGGGGAGGAGCAGAGAGAGAGGGAGACACAGAATGTGAAACAGGCTCAGGCTCTGAGCTGTCAGCACAGAGCCCAACGTGGGGCTCGAACTCACGGACCGTGAGATCATGCCCTGAGCCAAAGTCGGACGCTTAACCAACTGAGCCACCCAGGCGCCCCAACGTTGGCATTTTAAAGAGTCCAGAGCAGAGGTCTTCTTGAATGTCTCCTTTTTTCTTATTTCTTGTAAATCAGAAACTGATCTAGAGGCTTGATTAGATTCCATTTAACATTTTTTCCCCAGAATACTTCACAGTATTCATACTTCTCCAATCATGATTAATGATTAAGTCTTCTCAAATGTGACTACATCTACCAGTGGCATGAGTGGCTAGTTAAATGCATCCCACTTCTCTGCACACACACCCTGCTATGCTGTCCTACAAAGAAGAAATTAGCATTCAATCCTCCTGTCTGTAGAGAGGAAGTGCTAGTGTCCTCGGCTGTCGACCTTTAGTACCTTGCCTACACTTGTAGCTGATGCAACATAACCTGCAACAGTGTACTGATGTCAGCATAGTTTCATGAGTTTCAACTCCTGGCACCCTGAGGACTGTTGATGAAAGATGTGTGGGCCCTGCAATTGAAATACAGATGAATCTTGATGTTATCAAAGCAGATACCAAGGCAACTGCTGGCCATCTGGTATTTTGTGTGAGTGGGATGTGTCATTTTCTATTAACTCAATAGTAGTGTCTGCTAGTGAAGTATACCATCATCCAAGTTCATCCAAGAAGAACAGTTCCTGTTCTTAGGCCTAGGCACATTTCAGAAGCTAAACACCGCACATTTCATTCACGAGTCTAAATTAATTAGCCAAATTGAACATGTTGCAACATTTTCCTACCAGCAGATGCCAGATAGCAAACACAGTAGAACTATTATAGTTTCCAAATACGTGACATATGATGTTATTTGGCATCTCCAGATGAACATTATCAATCCAAACTAAGCACTCTGCTAGTATGTGGGCAGCCCTCGAGTGAGAATGAGCATTACTACTTTGTGTCTGCTAAAAAGAAAACACTTACTTTGGGGCTCCCTCTTTCACCTTCATGTTAGTTTACATTCAGAAATCTAACATGCATTTGAAAATTCATCTGTTAGTCGATCATAGGTCTTGAATAAACCAAATAAAATCTTTCATATTTTTCCTGCAATTCCTGCCACTCCATCCACAACCTGTACTAGGCAGATTGAATTTACTTAAAAAGATCTAAACTAATAAATATTCACCAAACAATATCCTCTATTGTCCTTTACAGAAACAAATTGCTTCTGGTACCTCCCTCAGTTCTCTAAGATTGTATCTTGTTTCTTAATACCTATTAATGGTAAAATAGGACAATTTGGAATATAATGTGTTATAGTGGTTCTTGTGTATTCTATTGAAGTTGTGACATCGAGTGCCTATAGCAATGAGGATGGTAAGGGAAAGGGAACAATAGGCAGAAGTGGGGGACTAGACAAGTCTCCACATTCATCTGGGACATTACTTTCCAGCCCTAGCCAAATTTTGCCATGTGGGAAGTGTTGCCAGATTTGCCAAGAGGAGCTGAAATTTGGACTTTATGTGAAGATCTTGTGATTTTTAAACATAGTTTCAAATACTTTTTAAATATTTAGCAAGCCAGCAAAACATTTAACCAGATAGGACCAAGGGCCACCAATTGGTGACCTATGTTTCTTATATGAAAACAGGATTGGCAGTTAGGCCAGAATCTGAAAATACTTTAGAAATGTTTTCCTAAACATATTTCAGGTACATTTATTTTCTTAGGTTAGGCAACTTCCATTTGTCACTTCCATCAAAAATTCAAGATAGAGTCTTATGTACACCGGGCTTCTATTCCCTATAATTTTAAAGGTTTTTACTCTTTGCCACCAACTTAAAAACTTGCCCACATTTGCTCAACCTTGAATTATATTATGAAATAGATTTGCTTTATCATATTTTTTATTATGTTCTAATGTTTATTTCGACAAGAAAACGAGTGGGGGACGGGAGGGAGAGAGAGAGAGAGAGAGAGAGAGAGAGAGAGAGAGAATCTTAAGCAGGCTCCACAATCAGCATGGAGCCTGATGTGGGGCTTAGTCTCAAAACTGTGAGACTGTGACCCAAGCCAAAATCAAGGGTCGGACGCTTAACCAACTGAGCCACCCAGGCGCCCCCAAAAGGTTCTTATCCACTGTAGCTCCTTCATTTAGCTGTGACTGGCATTATAGACATTGGTATGTTTGTTGAAAGGAAAAATGTGTTTGGATAGGAACATATGATCCCAAATTCCTCTTTTGTTACATTTCTTTTTCATTCTGAAAGAGTAAATTCCCTTGTCCCGAAAAGAGCATCCTTTCTACTCCAGTCTTCACTGTCCAGTGTTTACTTTTAAAGTTCTGTCCTTATTAATAGATATACAGCCATTAACTTTATTTTTTATCTTCAGTAATTATTTTGTCCATGTATAACTTATTTTGATCAATTTTTCACTAGTCATGGTAATAACTCAATCCAGAATATTTTAGTTTTTCATTTGTAAACATTTTTGTAGACAAATATGGTAGGATAATCAATCATTAAAATATGGTTAAGCATGAAAATATATTACAGTAAAATTAAGTGGAATGGTAATAGAGGTCTAGGGAGAAAAAAGATGTAAACTTTCTGACTTAAAAGTAAGTTCTTCATTCTTTTTACTAATAGAGGATAATAGCTGTCAAGTTTTTATGATATTGAGATTACGTTGGATATATTTTTAAAAGACTGATATGGAGCACCTGGGTTGCTCAGTTGGTTAAGCGTCCAACTCTTGGTTTCAGCTCAGGTCATGATGTCTTGATTTGTGAGTTTGAGCCCTGCTTGGGATTCTCTCTCCCCCACTCTGCCCCTTCCCCACGTGCTCTCTCTCTCTCTCTCTCAAAATAAATAAACTTCAAAAAATGAAACGAAAAAATAAAAGACTGATATAACAGTTATTTTTAAATATGCTGGAAATTATGTCTTTAGAACTATTTGAACTTAATAAATTTGTCAATTTAGAAATGTGTAAAGGGGTATTTAGTTTTTCTACCTAGTTTTTAAAAATCTGAGGGCACCTGGGTGGCTTAGTTAGCAAATCATCCAACTCTTGATTTCCACTCAGTCATGATCTCACGGTTGGTGAGTTCAAGCCCCTTGGTGGGCTCTGCCCTGATGGCGGAGTGCCTGCTGGGATTCTCTCTCTCTTCCTCTCTTCCCCTCCCGTCTGTGTGCTTTCTCTCTCTCTCTCTCTCTCTCTCTCTCAATATATAAACTATAAATAAATAAACTATAAATGAATGAATAAGTGGAATAAAAATCTCTGCGTGTTAATGCAAGCATAAAATTTGAGGACCACTTACATATATTCTCTGGGTTCAGGACATTTTAGTGCTCTTGTCCAGTCCCATACACAGTTTAGTTCAAGTATCAAATTAACTCACCCCAGATATTTTTAACTTGTCCAAGTTGTAAAATTAACTTATATTATCAACATGTGTATGATTGATATAAAGTAGTAATCCTTCCTAGACTTAAGTGCCTTTCAACTCCGCCTACAGCTTTGTAAAATATTTCATGACAGATTTGGTTTCCCTCCAAGTTCTTCTGCATTAATTTTAGGCATCCAGCTCAATGGCTACGACAGGTTTGCTTACTTTGTTATGACTTTGAAATGTACTATCCATCAAAACCATTATCTCTGGGACAAATTGCAAACTAAAGAAACTACGGGGGGAAAGGAAGTAGATTATTTTCCAATTACCCAGACCAAGAGCTTCAAAAAATTATTGACATTCTATTCTCCAAGCATTAAAAGTTTGGGTTACATTAGTGTAAGAATTTTACTTCTGCAATTGAATGTGTTTTCTCTTAAAATATACCTTGACAAATGTATCATTTTAAAATCTGGCATAGTAGTCCATTGTATGGCTGTTACAGAATTTATTTAACCTTTGATATATTGCTGAATATTTAGATTCACCTATTGCTGAACATTTTGCTCTTCAATGCAGTGCTTTAATGAACATTCTTATTCTTATGTCTTTATACACCGGTGCATTATTTCTTTAGGGCCCATTCTAGAATGCTTGGGTCAAAGAAAATGTGCATATTTAGCTTCAGTAGATAATACAAAATATTAATAGATACTACAAAATATCTAAAAAATCTGTACCAAGAAACCCACCCACCAACAGAGAATGCCCATTTCTCTCTACCTTCTCTAACTCTGGATACTGTCAGCTTTAGATTATTTTTGCAATTTCAAAAGATCTAACACACACACCAAAATGTCACATGATTTTCACTTGCTTCATGAATCCATGATCATTTTCCTACTTCAACTACAGTACCCACTTCAGTACTCCTACATCCCATTAAACTTTATTTTCTATAGCACTTACTACCTTATAGCATCCTATTATTTACTTACTCTAGAGTGTAAGCTCCAAAAGGTTTGAGGTTTTGTCTGTTTTGTTCACTAAAGAATAGTGCTTTTGGGGCGCCTGGGTGGCGCAGTCGGTTAAGCGTCCGACTTCAGCCAGGTCACGATCTCGCGGTCCGTGAGTTCGAGCCCCGCGTCAGGCTCTGGGCTGATGGCTCAGAGCCTGGAGCCTGTTTCCGATTCTGTGTCTCCCTCTCTCTCTGCCCCTCCCCCGTTCATGCTCTGTCTCTCTCTGTCCCAAAAATAAATAAACGCTGAAAAAAAAAAAAAAAAAAAGAATAGTGCTTTGCACGTTATAGACATATATTTATTGAATTGAATTACATGGCACTTGTATGATACATGTGAATTTCTGTCATAGCTGATATGTTTCTTCTTTGACCCATTTGTCCCTAGTGGTACACACATCTTACCTCATCATAATAAGAAAGTACCTTTAGAAGCAACCACAACTCCTTAGGGCACATTACACCAGACAAAACACCCATGTTTGGCCATTAGCAGGTGAAGGAAAGAAATGTTCCTTCCTACTGTGGACTCCCTGGGCAGTTGATTATCAAGACACTGTAGCCTTGCCAGTGAGGGTCATCCAACCACCACCTTGCTTATTTTAGCCCTTCCCTTCCTGTTTCTCTCCTGCCAGTGCCTGGG